CACCATTTGCATACCCCCGACTTGTTTACGAAGGCCAGGCCTAATTGGCTTGCCGCCAGCAACACCTCGACGCCCCCTCTCCCCACCATGTACCCCCCCCAGGCTCACAACACCTTAAAAGAAATTAGAAATGCGACAACAAACTCCATTCCGTCAGGAGGCACCGCGCCACCACCAATCACGCGCCCGGCAGCGTGGCGCAGGGAGTGGGGCTCCGTGTTGGGGGGAGTAATTGGTGAACCCGAGGTGAATGAAATAATTGGAAAAGTGAGGTGTGAGTTTGTTACTAAAGTGTGAGTGTGGTGGGGGAGGGGAGGCAGGCCGCTTTAAAAGCCCGGTATGTCCTCTTTATTCACAGCTTCGGATACAGTAATTGCTATTTTGTGCTTTCTATTATCTACACAGTGGGGAGCGGGAGGCTCCGTCCCCCGAGCTCCAGAGTCTGGGTGGGTGCAGGAGGGGGCCATATGGGTGTCCCGTGCCGGGTCCCTGGCGGCCCTGCCCTGTGCACCCAGCAGCGGTCACTTCTGGGCACCAGGACACACACACAACTTCCTCCCAAAGCCGCTCAGACTTCGCTTTGGGGCCTTTGCGGCCAGATAAGGACCTTAATAATGGCTGGTATTTATATATCGCTTATCTCCAAGGAGCTAAAGGTACTGCATCGATTTTTTTCCCCCCAACCCTTTTTTTCTCCCTCCTTTTTAATTCTCTTTCACTATCTCCCCAAGATCATTAGTATCGGCCACATATTACGCTACTTGGTTATAAAGCCACCGAAGGCATTGGGGGACAGGAGGCAGTGCAGAAGACAGAGCTCGCCCAGCATTGGAGGCCGGGGGCGGTGCGCGAGGGGGGGATGGACAGGTCATTCTGCCACTGATGCCCCCCCCCCCGGTTTTTTCTTCTGTAAAACAGAGGCGGTGACAGTTATGGCCCCGACATCGTTGTTTCCGCTCAAAATAGATTTCAGAGGCCTGTCGCACACAGTCCCTCAGGAGTTGCACTGTTTTCCCACAGACTGCAAGTCTCCCAGGGTTCGAATCCACAGAAGGAAGATGGGGCATCCCCTCCCATTCATTATCATTTACAAGCTGAGAAACCCAGCGCTGGGTTGACATAACCTGGACCCGACCCAAAGACAGTGAATTTGAGGGTTTTCTTTAGAACATTGTGGAAGGAGCCCTGGTGGTGCCATGATTCCTAGCCTCAGCCAATAACTGAAAGGTTGTTTGTTTGAATCCACCCCTAGCTCTTTAAGACAAAGAACCTGCTCCCCATAAAATGATATCCTTGGAAACCCTGTGGGAAAGTTGTGCCGCCTGTCCCGTGGGTTCCCCAGCAGTCAGAATTTATAAGCCACCCAATAGCATGTTCTAAAGTCCCCATAAATGGCTAAGCATTTAACTAGTAAAAGAAAGGTCCATGGTTCAAACCAACCCAGAGGTACTTCAGGAAACGGGCCTGGAGATCTCCTTCTGGAAGATCACTGCTTGAAATTGCGAGGTCACCATGCGTTGGGATCAGCCCAGTGGCAGCAGCACCTTGGAGACACTTACTGATTGGTGGCTGTAATACGCAGCCATTCATTTCCTTTACAAACTTCAGGAAGTTCTGCCTTTGATCCAGCCCTAATCCTCTGGGCTCTGAGTTGTTGGGAAGGGACCGAGAATGAGTCAGATGCTCATCCGCACAGCCCGCCAGGCCCTCTGCAAACTAATGGGACATTTGAAGCTGCAGCCGTCCGCAGACAGAGCCTCCTGTTCCCTGTGCAGAGGTCTGTCTAAGAACCTTGGCAGGGGCTGTGACATACACCCTAAGACACCCCCCACCCCCAGCTGCCTGGGACAGGATCCCCAGGCTCCCAACCCCTCCAGATGCCACCCACCTTCTGCCATGGCTCCCCCACTCAGCTCTCCAATGCCCCCTCCCCAGGCCACGCAGGCACAGCTCCCCCCGCCTCTACTCATCAGCCCTTTTCTCCACCTTTTAATTATCTTCCTCGCCTTTCTCCGGACTCTTAGCTACTTACCATGCACGGAGCATCTTCAGCTTGCAGTGGGCTAGAGACATTAGCCTCAGCAGTCTCCCCCACCCCGCCTTTCCCCCCTCTCTCTCACATACAGAGAGAGAGAGAGAGGCAGGCTGACTCACCAGAAATAAATAAGACGGGACTAAAGAAAACCGTGGACGGGGGCAGTTGAGACCAAGGGAAAGGAGAGGTGCAGCCCCCCATGAGTGGAAGCAGGGGGCTCGAACATGCAGGGATGGAAGGAACTGGACTCTGCCTGCCCACCCTATTCCTGTTCCTAGCTCTGGTCCTGGGAATGTCCTTGTCTTCTGAGGGTCCACTCGGGCATTCCTTCTCATCCCGCTGGCGGCCAGACAAAGTCACCCGGCGATCTGGCCAGACTTGAGAGAGAAAAGAGCTGTCTCCGCTCAGGAAAAGACCAGTGTCGTCCAGATGATTGCTAGGAGAGAAAATCTCTGTGTGGCAGAAACAAGAAAGTACGGGCCTAATATCTAACATGTCTGAATTCCAGTTTGAGCCCTGTCACCCGCCTCTCTAGAGCCATTGCCCAGAGCCACAGTTTATTCAGCTGTGAAATGGGTGTAGAGGTAACTCGTGTTACTGCTGTCTGTGTTTGTTCTCTCTGTGCGCTGGTCCACTGGCATTTCTTCACAGCCCTCCAGGGCTGGGAATCTTTTGTCGATGGTGTCTCCCCCTTCCAGAGCACCTGTTTGTTTGTAGGTTTGTCTCAAAAATGTTTTCGGCTATCCCTGTCAGCCAAGCACCTGATCTGTCTTGCTGTAGGTGGTTTCTCCTGTCACCAAGCCTAAGGCAGGATGATGCGGAAGGGCTGTCCGCCCAGCCAAGGGGAGGGCAGGATTGGTGCTCGGAGCAAGAGACGTTAAGCGAGTGATGGGGGAAGGGTGGCGCTGGCAAGCAGACCAGCCCACCCAAACATGTCAGCGCATAGGGGTGCTCAAGACCCACTTGTTCCCTGAGACTTTCTCATTAAAAAAGCCAAGCGTAAAACCCCCCACTGTCATGGTGTCCGCCCCACCTCACTCAGGGCAGCCCCACATGTACCAGTGAAGAACCATGTTCCACGGGCTCCTTGGGCTGCTTTTTAAGGAAAAGAGCACCAGGCCTTTCTTCGGGTGGACTCAAACCACCAACCTTTCAGTGAGCAGCCCAAGAACCCCAGTGTTCTCCTGCTTCCCCAACAAGCCCCCCAGCCCACCAGCTCAAGTCCCCAGCAATGACGCACCATGCCTGTGGGCCCAGAGGCTGTCAGGAAAACTCCCTGGTCAGGGTGCATTGATATGAACACGCCTGCGAGACCTGAGTCCCCATCCCTGCCCCCGGTCCTGGAGAGGAAACGTGGCTGCCGTGGGCCCGGCCGGCCTTTAGATGGCAGGTTGGAGCTAGGTTTGCAGGCTGGGCCCAGCCCAGCTCCATTCTCACCTCGGTGGTCCACCTGCCCAGCCCCAGAGCCCGCTGTTCTCCGCGGGACTGGGAAGGCTGACGGGGCTCCCCGCGGCCCTGGTCCCCAGCTCCCTCTCCCTCCCAGGGCATCTGGCCTGGGGCCTGGCCGGCCAGTGTCTGCTTGCAGCAGCGTAGAGCTGGTCTTGAGCTCCGGGAGGGGGGAGCCGAGCTGCTGGGGCTCGCGCCGAGGGGGGACGTGCGGATTCATTTTGAGGCTTCATCAGCGCTGCGTTTACACACGGGCCTGCCTGCAGAAATTGGGCTGGCAGATGCCGCGTCATGCTGGCAGGGCTGCGGGGTAACGCCTCGGATTTAGCTTATATCATTTCACCAGCGTCGACGGCCTTAAGTGTGTTTTTACCCGGTCGATCTCTGGCCCCGCAGCATCCCGGGGCCCCCGGCATGTGCGTGCTTGGCGCCTGGGCACTGCGAGCGCGTGTAGATTTTCAAATAAAATAACACCTCTCTTCAGATGCCGGGCGCATTAAATATTTATCGGCAGCAATTTGTGCGTATATGGTTGATAAATGGACATGTGGAAGGAGTTGGGGGAGGGAGACCGGAAAGCAGGAGGGACCCAGAGCAAACCCCAGTCTTTTGTCCTGGAATTTCCTGGCGATTTCGTCTGGAGGAGAGGAGAGGAGGGGCCTGGGGGTGGTCCTAGGCCGTGTTTACTTGCTTGATCCTTGTCAGGAAGAGCCAAGCCTCTCTGCTCCCAGGCTTAGCCGACATGGGGAGAGGCCTGGGAGGGGAGGAGAGGAGGCAGGTTTGCAGGAAACAGCACACACTGGCGCTGACAGCCACACACAACCTGTTTTCCCGGGTCCCGAGAAGGGGCTTCTTCACCCTGAGCCCCTTAGAGGTGAAGGTGCGTTGGGAGGTCAGGACGGGGCTGAGACCCGTCCAGACCCCCTGGCACAAGCTGACGCTCGTGTGGTCCCCTTGTACTGGGCCGAATGCCTCTTGTCAAGGCTGAGTCCCCCTCAGGAATGTTTACCACCACGGGGACAGAGGGGACAGGTGTCCAAGTCCCCAGGAAAGCCAGCCTGAGGCTTGTAGGACAGGGACAGAAGCTGCAGCTGGCATCTCAGTCGTCATCGTCGTTCCTCCCCCCACCCCCCCCACCGCCTTCACTCCTTACCTGGTGGGGACCTAGATGCAGGGCTGCTGTTTGTGCCCTGAGCATGTGCCACTGAAGAGTTGGCACGGGTGTGTGTGTGTGTGTGTGTGTGTGTGTGTGTGTGTGTGTGTGTTTCTGGGCATGGTGTGGGTGTATGTGCACCTGTGGACATATTCACATGTATGTGTGAGCGTGTAGACAGGCATGTGTGTGCCCCGTTATGTGGAGGGAGATATGTCCACATGCCTCTTTTAGAACCTGGGTATGGGGGGTGCACATGTGTGCCTGCTCTGTGGGGGAGAATGTGCCCACACATCTCTTCTTTAGCCTGAAGAGTTGGCCCTAGCAGGCCTCGATCCCTAACCTCCGTGTCCTCTGCTGTTCTAGCACGTTCGGTGAGCTAAAGACCGTGCGCCTGCCGAAGAAGATGACCGGGACGGGCACACACAGAGGGTTCGGCTTTGTTGACTTCCTCACCAAGCAGGATGCCAAGGTAAGACTGTGGCCTGGCCACCTGCCTCCTGCAGGGGCCCTACTCCCCCAGGGCTCCCCTGGCCCTTTGGGAGGACGTGCAGGTTTCAGGACAAAGGCCTCATCACGGCCAGGCACCCACTGCCTGCCTTCGCCCCAGCCTGCGTCCCGGGGAGGGAAGGGCCAGGCCGTGCTATTTATTTAGAGAAAGGGGCTGTCTTTCTGCACCTCCTCCCTTGTTCCATGTTTGCAGAACCCAGTCGCTCTGGGGGGGGGGGGCACGTCAGAGAGGAGGGCCAGGACCCCCAGAGGGCAGCAGAGAAGAATTGCTGCAAGTGAGGGCTGAAGGGGAAGGTACAAGGGGACACTGCCCTGGCCGGAGCCTCCTGCTCACAGCAGCCTATGGGGACAGTCAGACAGGGCCCCACGGACAAGTGCACGTGTGGGAGGAAACCAACGGTTACTCATGGCACCTTCGTGAGGCTACCCGTCTTTCAGTCTTGACACAAGGCAGCGTCTCTGTGTTGCGGTTGGGATGACTGGGTGGGTCGCGGGATTACCTCGCCCTGCAGATCAGGGAGTGCCAGCTATGTAGGCTTAGTTTCAGATCGGAGTTCTGGGCACCACTGGCCAAGGGCTGCCATAGTGGGCACCCTTTGATGAGCTGGGACCCCCACATTACTTCAGCATTTCATCCTTGGGTGAAGTGAGGCTGTGGGCTCCACCTCCAGGTCTCTCGGGGAGAAGCTGTGTTTCTGGGGCTCGTGTCTTGGCCTGTGGCATCACAGGCTGCAGGGTGGGTCAGCTGCTCGGAGCCCAGGCTGGCCATGCAGGCCGCAACTGTGGCCTTTGTGGGGCCCCAGGAACGTGTGCAGGCAGCGGGGGTTGCCGCCACCACCTTTGTCCTCCTCCGTGCACTCGTCAGCATCTTGAGCTCAAGTGCCTGTGTTGCTGACACGTGGCCACGTCTGTCCGCACACCTGCTCCTTTCCCTCGGAGCTGCTAGTCCTGCGCCTCTTGCCTCCTCCAGCAGGGGCCGCACCCGCCTCAGCCAGGCTCCCACACAGCATGGGGGCTGCATCCCAGAACAACCCCAATCATCGTGGGGGCTGCATCCCAGAACCATCACAATCATCGTGGGGGCTACATCCCAGAGCCCCAGCAATCAGTGTGGGGGCTGCGTCCGATGCTGCTGCACTCACTGTGGGACACCTGCACCCATAGAGCACCCGTTGACTAAGAACTGATGCATAGCCGACCCTCCACTGGGTTTTCAGAGGCAGTTAACCACACGGAAGGAGGCTGCCCATGCTTCTCTCCCAGAGCAGCTAGTAGATTTGAACTGCATGTCTTTGGGGTGGCAGCACAGCTCCTTACCACCGGACTACCAGAGCTCGTACATCCCCTGCCTGCACTCGGCATGATGGTCCACGGCCCCAGTGCCCAGGGTGGGATGGTCCACGTCCCACAGCCCCAGTGCCCAGGGTGGGATGGTCCACGTCCCATGGCTCCAGTGCCCAGGTTGGGAACCCATATCCCACAGCCCCTGCACTTAGTGTGGTGGCCCACATCCCATAGCCCCTGTGCCTGATGTAGAGGCCCCCCCACCCCGTGCCCCACCGTCCTTACAGCCATCAGTAAGAGCCCTATGTCCTGTCTTGTGGGGGCTCAGAGGGAAGCAGTGCAGAGCTGCAGTCTGGGGGCTCAGCCCTTCTAAGGGGGCTCAGTGTCCATCCACCACTGTGTTCTGTACCTTGCTCCTTTTGTCAGGTGCCCATAGTCCAGGGTTCCCTTAGGTGGTGCCTGTCAGCACAGCGCCACTCCTGACAGGCTCACTGTCCCCGCTTACTGGCACAGGTCCATGCTCGGGCTGCCTCCAGGCGCACTTCCCACAGAGGTGGGGTTCAAGGTTCTCCTGCAGACTCCCTCAAGCCCCGCATCTCATGGGGATGGGCGGTGGGGAGGGAGTAGAACCATTGTCACCTTTTGCATCTGGGATTTCTGTGAGGGGACCTGACTCCTGCCCTTCAGGCCTGTCTTCTGCTACCCTGGTAGTGTGGTGCGTAACAGAACGAGAAGGCCAGCAGTTCAAATTCACCAGCTGCTTTCTGGGAGAAAGACAAGCAGTCGTTCTTGTAAAGATTTACAGCCTCGGAAACCCCAGGGAGGGATCCTAACTCGCTGAGCAGCAGTGGGTTTAAGAGCGGCTAGAGCCGAGCCGATAGGGCGCAGCCCTGACCCAGGACTGCCCGGGTTTGAAGCCCAGGACACCAGCAGGTGCTGCCCTTCGGTGTGCCCCAGCTTCCCCAGTGCTTACAGGATCTTCCTCATCCGGCGGGGAAGTCTGGACAAGGTGATATTCTTAGGACCAGGGCTGGTTCTCTCCCATGAGCCTTGTCTGTCAGCTCTGAGGGGGAGGGTGATGACAACAGTGGTGGCTTAAAAATGAGAGCATGGTGGGGAAGGAACAGCGAGCCGAGGCACCAGGGCCTCTTTGGAGACGTGGGGTTGATGTCCAGGGGACCAGGTGTCTGCCCAGCGTGGCTCCCAGTCCAGCTGTTGTCAGGCCACATGAAGTTATCTTGGGCCCAGAGCAGAAGGTGGCTTCTCAGGTGGACCAGGCAGAGCCCAAACGGCCAGTGTCCAGCCCGGAGCTGTGACTGATAGCCGCGTCCCTCCTGCCTCCACCCTCCCCTGCCTCCCACTCCGGCTCTGGAGGAGAAAGGGCAGCCGAGGACGCGCCCACAGCCCCTCGCCTCCGCCAGGCCAGGCTCAGGAGCTATTTCTGGCTCGGGTCGTGGCCGTGGCAGCCTCGCTCCCACCCTGGCACAGGGCGCGGGCCCTGGGTGCCAGCCGCCGAGCGCTGTCAGTGCCGCCCCACACGCTCGTCTCTCCTGCAAAGATCCCCTTGCGCTTTTCACCTCCGCGAAGCCGCCATTGCTTCCTCCCTCTCCTTCTCCCGGTCTGAAGAAGCGTATTGTCTTCTGAGTGGAACACGCCACACTCTGCTCTGACCCACAGACCGCGCTCGCTGCGTGTCGGTGAATAGAATTCTGAATATTGTAAATAATCTAGTTAGCTCGAGGGTGGGTGGGCCCGCGGCTGAAGAGGGACAGCTACACTGCAGGGATATTGAGAGTAAAACCTCAGGGATCCTTTCTCATCTCGGGAGGAGCAAGAGGGAGAAGCCTGGGGCTGGGCAGGGCACCTCTGCACCCCCAGTTTCCAAGCAAGCCCCTCCGAGCCTTTCTCCTGTCTGTGAAGTACTGTGGGGAGAAAGACCTTCTTGTGGGGTCCCCACACCCAATCTGGGGAGATTTCAGCCCCTGAATCAGGTTTTGATTTACCCTCGACCCGTGTGAATTCCTCACCAAGGATGTCTTGCGTCACCCTTTGTCATGTGCCACCCTCGATAGAGACGCTCAGTAGCTGGATTTTAGCGTGGGGGGTCAGCAGAATTGCGACCAGGGGGTAGAGAAGGACCCTGTCACACAAAGGTGCGCACTCCGATCCTTAACCAAGAGGGATCTCTGGTGGCCTAGGGGTCAGTAGTAAGTTTTTTTGCCAACCCAAAGGTATATGGTTCGAATTCACCAGCTGCTCTATGGGAGAAAGATGAGCCGTCTCCTCTCCCGCGATTTGCGGCCTCTGAAGACCTGCTGGAAGATCAGCTAAGAGTTGGTTTGACTTGATGGTACAAAACAAAAACAGCTTACCCAAGCGAGGCGCGCCCTCCACAGGATGGCTTCACGCAGTGACTGCAGTGGGCTCAAGCCTGGCAGAGATCATGAGGGCTCAGGGAGGGTCGGGCCTCGATCTTTTGTTTATAGGGTTGCTCGCGGGCACATAACACAACTGATCAGCTAGAGGTTGGGACTTGAAGCTCGCCGGGGGATCTGCTCCTGCAAAGACCACAGTCCAGAAAGCCCATGACCTCAGCTCTGCTCAGCAGCAGGCAGCGGGGACCGGGGAGCCACTGCGAGTTCAGATCGCCGTGACGGTGGAGGGCTCCGGTGGGGCACGAAGCCCTCAGGTCCTGGAAAGGAGGAGAGAGGCGAGGAGGAGAGCCAGTGGGCAGGTGCAGGGAGGAAGCCGCGAGGGGGTGAAAAGGATCCGTAGTCTGTGGAGACTGGAACGCGAGAGACGTGTGGTTTGGGGATTCAGTGGGGGGGCAGCACTGGAGCTTAAACCAGGTATTGCGACTCTCAAGACAGTTCTCTTCACCAGTGCCAGCCTGTCCTCTCACCAGCTGGCCGGGCTGCAAGAATCAGGACCAGTTGGGTCCCCCAAGCAGGCCCTCCTTGCTCCAGTCTCATCTTCCATCCTGAACTGTCCAAGCCAGGGCCTCGCGCCCTCTGGCCTGCATCCACGGGTCCTGTGTTTAACCTCACACGTTAGGGACTCTCCAGACGTCAAGCCTACATCCCCCAGGCTGGACAAATCCCAGGAAGTAGCCCCCCCCCCC